AGAAGAAGAAGATAAAACATTAAAAGTGTGTGTTAAATAGTAGATTAATATGAGCATTTACTAGCTTATTTTGAATAACTTAATTTGAATTTTAAATATGAACATATACTCAGCTCAAAGACAGAGTTGATGATGATTTGTCATGACTCTATAAAGCTCTGATTTTAAATGATCAACATTTAACCTAAACTAGAAAATACCAGTCAATGGATTTTATGGCAACATCTTGAAATTATTGAAAAAGAAAAGCAGATCAGCTAAAATACAGTTCAGCTAAATGATGACTTATAACCTCTATAAATCAGGCACATCCTTCTGTGCAAAGATTGTGAAGATACCAAACAAATCTGTTTAGATAAGCATTATGGGATGTTCATCCATCGTACTGTTCAGGAAGATGACGGTTCTGTGTGTCCAAGATGCAAAGGTGTGAAGACTTGATCCAAAACAGGAACAAAAAAAAATTATAATTGGGAGGGTCCTGGCTAGAGTAACTTTTCCTATATGAAAATAAATCATCTGCCAATATTGACAGGACGGCCACTCAACAATGAAGAAGCCATCTGTCATAAACATAGAAGAAGCACAAGTATAGTTTAAGGGTTTATGAGAAGACAAAAAATGTTGCTTGTCTATTAATCATCTAATTCCTTGTTCATGCACACCAGTTTGGTTAATAAACTTCGTTCTGATTCTAAATTTGAAGACATATCCTTTTTTCTTATAAAAACAAGAATATTTTGGCCACAGTGGTCATTGCTGGAAAAGAAGACTGCAAACATCTCAGCTGTGGGGTACAGGAGCGGCTGCATCATGCTGTGTTGTTGATTTTTGCTGCATTTGAAATGAGTGCATGTGCCTCCTTAAATGAGATGGCACAGAAAACACATTTGAGTGGAAATTTAGAAGCATCACCCGAAGGAAAGCAGCACAAATGATGTTCCGATATGGACCCTGACCGGAAGTTTAGAGATGAATCAGTTAGACAGCAGCTTAAGAACTAGAGAAACTACACCTTACAGATCAGCTCTCTAAATTGCACATACTATTACAATTCAAGGAAAGTCTTATGAGCAGCTTGCTGAATGATTTCAGAGTTAATTTCATCAAATACTAACAGATGTAAAATTAGCTTTGACTGAAGTAAAAATAAATTTCAAAGAAACATTTGTTTAAATTCTTCTACTTTTCCACTTCATGTTCATCTTTAGTCAGCAGTTACACCTAAGAGAATTGTGCATCTAGTATGTGTGTAGTAACAACAGCTCAAATGATGATGATAGCTCCTTAGTGAAGTGACAATCCCTCATAGATAATGGTCATCTGAGTCTGCAGCCCCTACTCATTCTGTTTGGGCTCCATGGCATCTGTCCTGGTGCCCTCTCATCATTCTCCTTAACAAAGACCTACTGTAAATTGTGCTCACATTGTTTCATCCTAAAATAGATTCCCTGGGTTAAACGTGTATATTTATTGTGCAGCCTTGACATCTTACTTTGTATTTAGCTGATTGCAAAAAAAAAAAAAAAATTATTTAAGTTCAGACAAATATACTCAAGAGTGGGAGAGGGAAGCTTTATGAAATTATGGGTATTGTTAATCTTAGTCCCAATAGGTATGTGTTTGTGTGGGTGAGCATGTGGGAGATAGTATTTATTTTTAAGGAATTTACCGAGATTTAAATAAAATTCAATTCAGTTTCTTTATATATTGCCAATTCACAACACATGTCATCTCAAGACATAATTCAACCATAATTCAGTCAGATCATACAGTCAGATTGTTTCAGGGTTTTTTTTTTTTAGGTTATTTAAGTTTTTAGTTAGTTACACTGGTAGTTTGTCAAATAATGAGAAACAAGATTTCACAAATATGATGTGTTTCAATCTAGTTATTCCAGTTGAGTGTTTTATATATGGCATGGATTATGTTTCATTAGCAAAGTTGTGAGATCTATTAATATAACAAAAATCAAAATGCTCCATTTTTTCTACAGGCAATATACCAACTTGTGTGCTTCTTTGTTTCTTAAGTTTTTTTTTAAGCAGGGTGTGTGTTGTAGCACTAATGTGAAAGAAAAAATGCTTTTTATTTCTGCAGTCTCTGATACTAACAAAACTATTTCCTTGCAATTATTTCAGTGCCCTTACTGTGCAATGTAGACCAGGATGTTATTTTTCCAATGATTAATTCTTTATTTGATTTCAGACAGCAAAAGGACATTATTTGTGTCTTTTGGGTGCCGACTTTATGCTGTAATTGGTCATGGCCATTTTCTATACCTTATATTTTAAGTGCTACATATCATTTGTAGCTTCATGATTGCTCTGAGAAATAGCTCCTTAACTGTATATTTCTTAGAATCAAGCTGACCATCGAAGGAGCCAAACATGATGAGCTTTGAGCGTTGCTGCAACTTAAGGCAGCAAAGGAGCTTTCGCACTTTCTTTCTGGGCAGGTAAGGTTAGCATTAATGTTGCATCACCTGTTTAGCAGTAAAATGAAGGTTGGAACGAGGGTGGGCGGGTGCACCACCTACTGGCTGGGAGGAGTTAAACTTGTAATTATCACCTTTGACCTCCACAAGAAATCCAGCCTAGGTCGTTGAGTGTGTAAGATAAGCAACAAAAGTCCAAGGAAAAAAATATGTTTACTCTTTTTTTATCAGTTATGATAAAATAAATGTATTAAACGATTAATTCCCTTGTGAGTTACATCAAAAATATTATTTTAATTTACTTGTACTTTATTTTTATATTTAACAGCCCGTGTTCTGAGACATCTCCAGTGGACCTATATGTGCAATGAAAAACATAGCCATAAAACAATAAATTCTGTTTAAGTTGCTCTCACGTAGGAGGGATAAATACAAAAAGCCCAATTATGCAAATATGCAATATGCAATATGCAAAGCTTCTAAGTTAGTAAAGAGACAAACCTGAGAAATTATTTATATAATTTCTACTTTAACATGTGTCCAAGAGCTTATATTTCAAAATTTAGTTTAAAGTTTTTTTTTGTTGTTTTTTCATTGTTTTCAAACTTAAACAATACTTTTAACAAACACAGAAACAACCTTTATCGTTTAGGGAAGTCCTTAGCTCAAGATCTTCCTCTTCGTGCTGCTTTGACAATGTTCCCATGGAAACCAGCTGTCAACATGGACAACACAACCCTTGCATTTGTTGAGACTTTCTGTCAGTCTCACTTCTTCTATTTCTGCATATGTGCTTCGTGTGTGTGTCTGTGTGTGTGTCAGCCTAATTACTTATTAGATTTCACCGGCAGACATTTGTTTAAACACACAAACATGCACACACCCGCACACCCCCACACACATACACCCCCACAATCACAGACACACAACAGACTTCAGCAGCTGGCATGACCTTGAAGATAAATACAAACCTAAAAAATGTTTCTGCAATTTATGGCTGCCGATGGCCTGATATACGACCAGCATTGCAAAGGATCCATCACAAGCGACGTGAGAATAGATACAGAGTCAACATCTGTTGCTCTCATACTTGAACACAATTTTATGCACCAGTGCACTTGATTGCACTCATTTTCACTAGTTTAGATGTCAAGCAAATGTTTACATTTATATATTGTTTTTTCCTCTCACAAACACAAGTTTCTTATACAGTAGATAGAGATAGTAAGTGGTTGTCTCTTACTTTGACATAATTTTCTCAAAAAAAGGTTTATTTCAGTGAAAAAAGTCAAAACAGGAAGTACATGTGAAGCAGTTAAAACACACTAATCAGGTCAATCAGCTGCAAAGCATTTTAAAACTGATAGTTACTGATGAAACCCTGCTGTTTTTCAACATAGAGCCTTAGCAATTCTCCACATAGTCCATCTTTGATGTCTTAAGTAGATTTAATATCATTGATTGTGACCAAGAAGGCCCATTTTAAATGGGATGTCAAATTACTCTTCACCAAACATATTAAGCACTTAAGTAACTTTGCTGACATCTAGTGTTAGGAGTATTGTTCCACCTATTTAAGCACAGAGTGGGACTTCACTGAATAACAAATGATTGTTAATCATAGTAATAGGCTGTCCCCCGTCTTATGCTGGAGGAAACAGTAGATAAGAGAAAAAGGTCAACATTTAACCAGAGTCAGAAAGTTTGCCTGTTTCCCTTCATACCATTATTTTTCTTCCACTAGAATTTTCTACCCATGGCCAGGTAAAACTATGTAAAACCAACAACCAGGAGTCAGTGTCGGGGCCCCTGCAGAGGCGTAGCCAGAATATTTTTATGAGGGTGGCCAGGCAATAACCAATGTACACTGAGGGGTGGCCGAAAATGAATAAGCACCAGAACCTCAGGGTCAATCTACTCTGTTCCAACAGGAAAATGAATGAGTAAAACATCCATATTGTCTAAATAAAGGCAGACCATACCTTCCTACAGCCTTTGCTAACAAATAGATGCATATATTTAAACATCCATGCTTTTTAGATAAAAGGTAAAGTGGATCAAATTCTTTCAGGTTTGGGTTCAGGGGCGAACATCTTTTCCATTGTCATTACTTACCTACTGTTATCAATAATCATCCTGCATAAAATTTATATTTACAAGTACTAATATCTACATAAATTGATTATTTAATATGTTTTTATAAAAATAGGTATTTATCTATGATTACACTAAAGACTCCTAGATGAATGCAGAGACACACAATTTTCTCTTTTCCCAATAAAACACAAAATCTAGTTCTGAAAAGAGCATTAATTTTGTTTTTATCATCTTTAAAATTAGTATATTGATGTGCATAACTAACTACAATGTTTTTGTTATCAAGTAATTATGAATATATGAAAAAATAGTAAGTAATATATATGAAATTAAAATGTTTGGAATATTCCACTTGATTATTAGTGGGAAAACAATGGTCCTGGTGGCCACTGGGGTAGCCAATGATTGGCTAAGGCATGGCCACCCCTGGCCCCCCATCTAGCTCCGCCCCTGGGCCCCTAAGAGGTGGGGGCCCCTAAGCAACAGCAGTCTCTGCTTACAGATATTTACGCCACTGTGTGTTGATATTTTGCTGCTATCGCAGCAACAGGCGGAAAATCTGCAGCTCCAAACCATTGCACAGACCTCTGATGATAATTTTAGGGAACTTTCGCTTCCTGACTCTGGCCTGTTTCCGCATTGTTCCCCCAGGTGCTTTCACAGTCACTCAGACTAAGTGAGTCGCAAACTCTACAAACTTTATTTCTCCGGATAAAAGTCCCGATTTCTTCCTAAGAGCCAAAAGCGCAGAACATGTCGCAGCTGCAGTTACGGGAAGAGAGGTGAGTGACGAGAAAAAGGAACAAATGTTCATAATTTGATGTTTCATCAATTCGATGTCACTTTATGTCGCAGTTTTTAGAGCTCTATTTACATTTTAAAGTTATGCTCTTTTTTTTCTTTTTTTTTTTTTTACTTGCAAAAATAAAAAAAAGTATTTGCTAATAAAATAACCTAAAATGTAAATATCTTTTCTTTTATTCAGTGACTTTGATCAGCTCCCAGATGACATCCCAATCAGTGCGACTATTGCTGATATTGAAGAGAAAAAGGGCTTCATTGACTACTTTGTAAGTTTTAATAAACAACATTTTTGCTGCAATATTGTGCATGTATTTCTGTGCCTCTGTGGTCAGGGCATGCCAAACTGTGTGGCTGCTTAGGGCCCCCTTAAAATTTAAGATGATGTAAAAGGATAAAAACAGGATAAAAATAGGATAAAAACAAAACAATTCAGCTGCTTCTATGTGTGCCTGTTCAATATGTCAGCCTACTGTAACTCGGTGAAATAACCTTTTTTTAGGTTAATATACTGCCTTTCAGAAAATAAAAGTTCAAACTGCTGGTTACCAAAGGAAAAAAAAATAAAAAATAAAATAAAAACACAAAAACAGCAAATATGCATTTGGCATAAAAGCTGTTAAAAGCCAACCTGAATAAACAGGTTTCAGCTTCTTTTTATAAGAATGCAGAGAGTCAAGACAGTGCAGTAATGAAGGAAGGTGGGGTTATATAATGCTTTAAAAAATCTAACCTGTCTGGTTAAAAATGAGTTTGAGGAACCATTGCCTTTGACTTGAGGACCTCAAACAATAAGAACGGGGATATCTATCAAAAAGTCTGTAAAACAGCGAGAATGTGATCACACAGGGTTCTAAAAGTAAAGACTAAGATTCTGAAATAAACCCTAAAATGCAGCAGTTTCTAATGTAAAGAGAATAAAGAGGTGCTCTCTCCATGTATTAGTTAAAACTTGTTGAGTTGAGAGGGTCAGATGTTTTTCTTTTCAAACACATCAAAAGACTGTTCGAATAGTCAAGATGAGATTGAAAGAAAGTAAGAATAATCATCTCTAACCCAACCACCAAAGTATCAAACTGAAATACTCTTCAGCTGAAAGAAATTGTTTCTGATTGAACCTCGAGAGCGACTCTCTAATGACCTAGCAGAATCTAAGATGACACCATATTTCTATGGTTTGTTTAATGCAGGTAGTCCACACATAAAGAAGCTGCTTTTTTTCCATTTTGTTTTCTCAGGGGAGATAAATTGAGTTTCAGGCTTATCATAGTTTACCTGCAAGATGTGTTTACTCATCCCCCTTTTGGTATTACTGACAGAGATTATCAATAAAGACAATTGTAGATATTCTAAGCTTAAAGAAAACTTAAGATGGATTTCAACAGCAAGAAATGATAAACAAACACATTTGGGAAATGCCTGATTATTAGGCCTAAAGCAAGAATATGAAGACTTCGTTTATAAAACTAGATAATTCAGTTTTTAATCAATTTCCAAAAAAACATAGTTTTTATTAGAAGCGCCATGCACAGAGTAAATTACATGCCTCAGCAGATTTCTTTTCAATAATTTCTTTTATCTGTTTTTGCAAATTACCTCTTCATATGTCCCAAGACAAAGCCCTGGGGAGCCCCACATGATAGGAGCTTTTACTCTGACAGAAAATGATTTACATAAAGACTGAAGTTTCTATTAGAAAGGTAGGATTTAAACCACTCTATTGAAATACCTGATAGAAAAACTAAATCACAAAGTCTGTTAATTAGTGCAATGATCAACGATTTAAAAGGCAGAAGTAAGATCTAACAATGATGACAGTAGATGCTTCAGTCAGCTGGTATTAAAATGGCATTTGAAACTTTAAATGGGTCATAGAATGATTCCATAGGGTATTTAGTTTTGGTCCTTAAGGATCTGAATAGGGTGTGTAACACAGGTTTTCTTCCTTTTATGGTATGATCATGAATATTTAGATGAGCTGCGCACTGATTGGTTGGTTTACAAAGAGCGAAGCTGCTGAGCAAAGACGCATCATAGTAACAAGCACTCATTTATTGAAACATTAAATTGTTCAGACGGTAGGGTGACCAGACTTCCTCTTTTTCCCGGACATGTCCTACTTTTCTTACCTAAAAAAAAGTGCAGATACAATAAAACATCTCTTTAAATTCCATCACAGGAAGTTATTTTATGTAGTAAAACTCTTCTTTCACATAGCGTGACTCAAACATTGAGTGACTGGAAAACGGTAGAGTCTGAGACTCAGTTTTGACACAGATTTACTGTTGCTTCCTCTTATATCATCAACTTTCGTCACCAAGAAATTTGAGGAAATCACAAGGCAAACGACAAGCTTATTATTTCAAAAATAGTCTTTCAATTCATGTTAAATGAAGAAAGTAAATATCACCAAACAGGAATCATAAAGGTGATATGTGGTCAGCTGACTTTAATGTGGGGCCCCAAATTAATTCTGCTCTTGGTTTCCTTTATTGCCAGGCCAGCTAAATATGTGGCTGTTCTGGTAAATGTCTAGAGTAAATAGTTTCAGTGCTGCAGTGCCGTGTTTCTTTTTAATTTTGTTTTGTTTGTCATCTAGAGGTTTGTGGTCGAGGTAAAGACAAAAGGAGGCGGTAAATATCTGATCTATCGGAGGTACAGAGAATTTTTCAGTCTTCACCAAACCCTGGAGAACAAATATTCTCCTGATGACCCAGAGAGGCCTGGTCCTAACACCTGCATTCTGCCCCCTCTTCCAGGTGAGTGTGTAGCTGATGAGTACAGAGGCATACAGAGACCCATGGCTCATTTTTCTGTCATATTTCACATTGTTTGAATGCCTTTCTGTCAAAAGATATGATTATATCTTTAGTCCTTTCAAGTCAAATTAACTCCACAGGCCAGACAATGTGAACTAAAAAAAAAATTAGCCTTAAAACCCTTAGTTTTACTTTTCCGGAAAATCAATTACTTGATTTAAATACAGTATTTCAACCACAGAACAACATTTCAAGGTCAGTTTTTGATTTTTTCCCCATAATTTAGCGATCTTTGTAATAAAGAGCAAATCTAGAAAAACCCAGACAGGCTGCTGGTGACGTCACATAACTGTGTTATTTAATTTTATGCACTGCATGGATTAAAATTAATAAAGAAAAATATATCCGAAGCCGCTATTTAAATGAATTGAGTAATAATATTCTCTGGTTGATAAGTTATATTCAGAAGATTTCCAAGTCCCTGCCCCCATAAAAAATGTTTCCTACAAAACTGCTAAATTACTTGCAGATTGACAGACCTATAATGAGCCCATTCCTGCCAAAGCACAATCATGCATGCACCTCCATCCCTGTGAATTCCAGAGAAAAGTAGTTTGTAAAAAAACAAAAATGAAAACAGAATAAGTTTTTGTGAAACTCTAAAGCGTTTTTATTTAGGACGCAAAAAAACTACCATTGATCTATATAGACAGAAACCAATAGGGCAAAACCAAAGAAAACAAGCAAATCGACACAGTTGAAGATCTGAAGGGAATCACTGTCAAAGGCTGTGTCCGAACATCCACTCTAATCCCTCAGTCACTATATAGAGTGAGGACTTTATAGTGAACTCAGTTATTTTACCGTTCAGACAGATGATAACCAATTTTCGTTCCCCGTTGGTCATCGGATTCTGCCTCCCTGCACGTTGCCTGCAACATCTTTGTTATTTTTTATCAGCGGGCTGCTGTGACAAAAAAAATCCCATAATTCCGCGATATATCTGCTCATCTAGTGACTATAGATGATCACTACTTTTCAAGGTGCATTGTGGGAGATTTAGTTTCCACTACTTTTTCATCTACTAGACAGTCGGAAAGTCATCTAAAATGGTTTAACCACTATATAGTGAGTAGGGCGGACATTCGGACACAGCCATTGACATCGTTTGCTTCAGCCTCATCCATGACAGTGTCTTCCTAATGCCATCCTCCTGACCTAAATGGATGGATGTAACAAGGCTTTTCCAGCTGTCGAGTAAATACAGAGGAGGTGATGCAATGATTTAAATTTGCTGAGCTGCTATGGAGACACTTTACCTGCAAGCTGATTTCTTGGGGTTTTTGCGTGTTCATAATCACACAAGATTCCATCTAAGCTGTCTCCCCCTATATCAGTTTCATATAGACCCAAAACAGGTAGGCCAGAAATAATGCACTATTGTGATTTAGGGCGGGGCATATGACCAAGAGCTGCTGAGCCCGCATCCAAACCAAAAAACCAAAAAACAAAACATGGCAACACAGGACGACATAGCTGTCTCTATTACATCTGTTTTGTCACAATCTAGAATTTCATCTTCATATTTGTAGATTCTTATTTGTTAAGCATCTACGATTTTAGGGATTTTTATATTGTGGCGACAACAAGAGTGTGAAGGCGTAAGTTGTTGTAGTTTCTCATGGTATCTATTTGTTACATGATTGGCTAAAACCAAACATTGGTAGATGGGCCTCAATCACATTGTAATGTGCAGTCACCAATGTATAATGTGTAGCAGAGATGCACCAATCCAGTTTTTTGCGATCCAATCCGATCCGATACCTGGACTGAACGTATTGTCCAATATCCAATACCGATTCGATTTAGCTGTTGAATTAATTAACCATATACTATGCAAAATGAGTCAAGGCTTTAGCCTTGTCATAAACATTGTTGACAAAAGGTAACTGATAAACATGGATATAAATAAGGATGGGATTCGAAAACTGGTTCCTGTTCAGAACCGGTTCTGTGTGTTCCAATTCCATGGCACCGTATGGCAGCTCGCTCAATGATTCTGTGAACGGTTCCAGGCATCACCAGGGCATAGCGCTGGGCAACACGACTTATGTCATGTGTTTTATGCAAGTTACGCACACGGCATTCAGTAAGCAAGTACGCATGACCAGCCATAAGTCTAGAAAAGCAAAAAAAAAAATAAAATAAAAATGGTGTTCCATCTGGTAAAGCGATCAAAAGTTTGTCTTCATTTTAAGAAAGAGAAATCATTGCAAAGTGGCAATTACATCCACAGGAAGAAATACATCCAACATGCAGAACCACCTCCGCACACAACATTGCATACATTTGAACGAATTCCATGTTTTTGATGCTTCCAGATGGAAGCTAAAGTTTCGACTAGCATGGAGGGCAACTCTGGTGGTTAGTAGCTAGTTTTATATCACTGGTTGTGCTTAATGTAGTTCCTAGTAAATCATATGCCATTTCTGGAAATAAACCAGTTTCCTACCTGTCTTTGGGGTAATTAAACATGCTACGAAGTTGCTCTGCAGTTCAGGGAGCGAGAGAAAGGTGACGCTCATTTATTTAAATCAGGGGGAGATGAGTTTATTTCCCAAAATTATACAGTGATGCTTTAAACGGATGCCTTCTCCATTAGATTTAGATGACTGTGACGAGACTGGTATCCTGGCTGGATCAGAGGCTGGCAGCTCCCATTCACTGCCTTCTGTTTTTGCAGAGGCAGGCAGAAATAGAATTTCCTAGGCGAAGGTAGACAAATGTCACTGTGCACTCACCAAGTTCATTATTTCACAGAAGCAATAAGAGAATCGATAAGGAATTGAATCGTTTCACAGAATCTATAATCGTGAATCGGAATCGTGATAATCTTATCAATTCCCAACCCTAGATATAAATGTGCTTTATATTATTTGTAAACAAATAAGTAGCAGAAAGAAAAAAAAAGAACGGTTCCATGCAATGTGCACGGGATTGGATCTCCCATATCAAATCACTAATATGCGTATAGTCAATGTCGGAGCCGATATCCGATCCAAGTATCGGTTTGGTGCATCTCTAATATGTGTAGAACTAAACCTGAAGCTACACATTATCAACCTGTCTTCCCATGTTAGTACTGGAGCACCAGGGTTGGAAACCATTGATTCATAGCACCATGATGTAGGCATCATTAATACCAAAGTCTGGCTTTATCATGTCATATCTACACAAGGCACTACTCGCTGGCAACAAGAGGGGTTAATAATGTGTTAATAATGTGTCAAAGTCACTCATCTTCCAGCTGGTCTGCGTGATTATTCCCTCTCTTAACACTATCAATAGAAATAGATGCAAAGCTTAATAAGAGAAACATTTGGACATTTGGGTTGTGAAAAACTTTGAAGTTTATGTTTCTCTAATCAGTGTTCAATTTTTTGAAAAAATTGTGTCTTGGATGAAGTCTTTACATCTTTACGAAACATATACATTTTTCTCCTTCCTCTTAGTTTAGGGGTGTTGTACATTTTTATGTTTAATGTTTTTGGTATTTATTTAATGTAAAAAATCTGCTTTCTATTTGGTTTACTGTTTGGGTGTATGCGCCTCAGAGCAACATCAGACCTCAAAGTACCATTTAGATTACTGATAGATATTTACCTTTCTATGCATGATTATTCTTTCTTAGAAATATGAATAATCTTCCACAGTAATTGTAAATGTGGATTCATAGCCTTACTTACCATTATTATGAAGTATACTTGTTTCTTGTTTTCTTTGATATTTTAAGTCTCCTCAATAACCAAATGGTTTGCAAACACTTAACAAAAATAGTTGAGCCTGTGTAGTGATTAATAAAAAAAAAAAAAAAAAAAAGGTTATTTCTGGTCAAGAGATTTCATACTTAACAAGAAAGTGTATAACTGAGGAAATCCTCATTGGTCCATCCCTCTGCAGCACGCCCACTACTTATTTCTCACACACCACACAAGAGTAAGCCTTTCTCTGAATGTGACTGAAGAATGGGCAGCTAGATCTCCCAAAGCAGAAGAAGAACAAAATGATGTCAGCAGAGAAGAATCCTTTTCCTGCAGAGGTACCTATTGGCCGCACACATCACTGATTTCTATTTATTTACTGGATTGCTGATATCCTGTTGGTAGTACGGGGTGGAGTGAAGCCACCAGCCACCATATTGGAACTTCCTATTTAGAGAGGTCTCAATGTAAACAATATGTGCGCTACAGCATCGGACAAAGATGATGTTCTCATTTTCAGGGGGGCTAAAGATAAATTCATCACTTTGAAACATACTTGCTGTTTCATAAGTATAGATTATAAGTAGATTACAGTTTCTTATGATGAAAAGTAGGCACAACACATTGCATATTTATTATGAAGTCAATGAAGTCTATAAATCATGTAATGTGACTTATTATACAAATCCTTCAAAAGAAAATGAAAGTTTTAATTGAGCACAATAATACAGATGTACCTAAATTGCTAAATTGATGATGTAATATACATGTATTGATTACATTGTTGTGGTAATTGTATATAATTTCAAGATTTCCCATCATGACTGAGTTATAAGTACATGTCTGTTAATGCTACAGTATTTTCCTATTTGCAAAGAGTGCATGAATGATGCCATATACTTTCATGCTGTGTCTGTGCATTAACCTTTAAAAAATATTTGAGTTGCTTTTTTCATCAATATACATTAACATGCAATCTGTTTCAGCACATGACTTTTTAAAATGAGAAATACAAGAAACACTACAAAAAACAGCTTCATCCACTTAAGAATTACTGCATTGACATTTTGCAGTGAATTATTTTCTATTTACTATAATTGCTGTTTTTTAACGTTAGACACAGTGTCAATGGTAAACTCAGTCAATATCTTTGAGTCAGTCTGGGATAATTATATATGTATATATATATATATATATATATATATATATATATATATATATATAATGGGTGGAATGGTT